ATTTCTTATAAAATATTCGAAAGTTGGTGGGTTGGCGCGCAGTGCGCGCAGGATGGCGTAAGCTCCACTAGAATATATATATATATATATACATTTGAATACTCTAATACCTTTTTACTTATTTATATGTATGTATGTATATGTATTACAAAATATTATATGAATAGTATAGAAGTATGGTATATGTCTTTATTCAAGCCAGGGGGTTCAACCACGTATGGCTTTATGGGATAATAACAATGTATGTTTTAATATTTAATTAAATAGTTACAGATAAGTGCCCAATACTGAAATCAGCTGAACTTAAATACAATCCACTGTGTCTCGATTTATTGGATCCCTTGGTTCCTTTGTAGGCATAAAGTTTTTGGTGGGCCGACTTTTTTTGTTAGCATTTTATAAAGTTAAATTTTGCTAGCCCTGTCAATGTGTTAAAGTCTATTACCACATTCCTACCAAATCGCATGGAAATATTGTATAGTATTTTTTCTCAAAACATCCCACATTCTGCCACCTACCCCCTATGTCCCTCTTACTGACCCCCACGAATTTTTTCATGGCCCCCACGGCCTCCCCACACTACTTATTTGAAACATGACCGTGATCATACCGTCTTTACCTATCTTTGGACAAAACTGTCTTATTGCTATGATTTATTTTATCGTCGAGAAGAAATTAAAAGTCATAAATTGATTTATAGGGGGTTGTTGCGCAAAACATCTTTATTTATATAACTAAATACGTTTAAAAACCAACTTATATGAAGTTAAGAATATTTCGAAACTAAATAATATATACACATATATTGGTGCGCATAATTGTTATATCATCATCGCTTATATAGTCCATTATCCCACAATTCGTCTTTTAATGTACATAAACTTAAGTTGAATTTAGAGTATCATTAATATAAACAATGGAAGTTTCGCATCACTTTATGAGTCATCTTATAAAGCCTGATGAAACCACGAAGACTTACGTCCATTTCTATTTTGTTTTAAATTAATGCTGAAATTGGTNACTTGGTTGGATATATGAGTTGCTCTTATTTAACTTATGAAAGTACGGTTGATTTTTCCCCAAATACACTAACTTCATATTACACAAGGTTTACTTTATTGTTACTGGTTTATGAATCAAATAATTTTAACTGGAGTAAGTAAAATAAGGAAGTAAACACTATTTTATAAAGTATATTAGAATTAGAATATTGAAAATTATTCTAATTTTATCGATGGGTAAGTATTAATGCGAGTAATTGAATTTATCGACATTTCCCATCTAGTTCGAGATTGCCAAGCCAACTCGATTTTTTCAGTTCAAACTACAGATTTTTAGAAAAATTGTCATACGTAGCAAGTGAAAAAAAGTACCACCTCAACCAAGATTTGAACCTGGAATTTTTTTTTTGCCGAGAAAGCGCGTTACCAATTTCGCCATCGAGGTCTCGGCAACTCCTCTCTTCAATTGTTACATTTTATAGTTTTTCAGCGATTTTTCTGTCAACGCTTGCTCACAAGTTAAAACTACAGATTTGTAGAAAAATTGTCATACGTAGCAATTGAAAAAAAGTGCCACCTCGACCAGGATTTGAACCTGGAACTCTTTTCTTGCCAGAAAAATGCGTTACCAATTTCGCCATCGAGGTCTCGGCAACTCCTCTCTTCAATTGCTACATTTTATGGTTTTTCAGCGATTTTTCTGTCAAAGCCTGCTCATAAATTATCAAATTCTGGTCGAGGTGGTACTTTTTTTAATTGCTATGTATGACAATTTTTCTACAAATCTGTAGTTTTAACTGAAAAAATCGAGTTGCCTTGGCAATCTCGTCGAACTGGATGGCAAATGTCGATGAATTCAATTACTCGCACTATTTTAAAAATAAATGGTTATTATCAACATCTTTTTACACAAGAATAAACTGTAAGATTTTTAAAATCATTTACTTACATGAAAATAATCCTATTAAATTGGGAAGCTCACAGTCTCTAAAGATTTTTTGAACACAATCATCCATCTTTTTTGCACTTGATCATCAGTTAACTAAGTTAGATAGTGTGGCAGCAGCCGTTTTTTTATATAGATATATATTCACTCACTTCTTAACTTGACAATCAAAATAAACTGTAATAAAACTATACATAAGGTAAACTTTTTCAATTTTGTTGAAAGCACATTTTGTATTAAAAAGGTGTACTTGCTAGTTTACATATTATATACCCTTGCATTAGGTGTAGGAAAAGGTTTAAATGATACTTATAGTATTATTATACAGATGTACGTCTGTCAACACAAACTAGCCTTACATTTACCCATATCTATGTACAATTATACATATACAATTCACTGCACGCGCCGCACATTGTAAAAAGACATGCGCAGTACACAAAATATAAAGAATCACTGTAGTACTGGAAAATCCTGTACCAACGTCGCTGAAATACTTGGGTTAGCATAAGTATAAAACCGACTCATCAGCTGTTTTTAATATAATCTAGGACAGTCTTAAAATATATGTGACTAGTTGTATGAAATAAGGGGCTAGTATGTTATTTTTTCATCCTCATCGTTTTAGCTACAACTTTAAATGGTATGTACATTCCTCCGTGCAGTTTTGTTGGCATCTGGGCTGTTGTCACTGCTGCTTGTAGACAATAACCGGTATTGTTATCTTTGATCAGCCTCGGCCTTTTGATTTTAAAACGTCGCGTTCTCGCGGCACTGCACTATGTGTGCTTCTCGGCAGAATCTTATTTTCCCAAAACAAAAAAAAAATAAGAGAAAAAAAAATTCCAACTCTTACCATATCCCACATTTAGTACGAAATCTGTTACGTGAAAAAGAGATTGGGAAGAAGGTGCATCACGAAAATGGTCAACACTCATTACGTTAAAGACCTTTATTCAAGATATCGCATTCACAAGGCAAAGTCGAGTGTGTGTTCCCTTTCAAGACTCGCCGTGTACTTCCTCGAAAGACTCTCTCCTTGCTCGCTCTTCGCTTCTTTAAAATTACTTTGCGACCTTAGACAGAGTAGTACTTTGCATCAGAAGAACAATTTAATAGTTTTCTATCCATGGGCACAAAGTTATTTGAGGGTACAAAATTAGTATCGAGGACGTCAATAGTTTTCTTTGCACTCATGATAAGAAGAAATTTTTTTCACGTGTTGGTTTAACACGCTATCTACTAATCGAGCTATCCGTAGGCAGCGCTCTTATGATTTAGATTTAAAACAGATTTAATCACTTAACAAAAATATATACATACAAACATTGAAAATAGGAATTCAGAAAGATGATTTATAGACATTTTATTAAATAATTTCCTGAAAGAATGACGAGCTTTCTACTATTAATCTTTATATAAAATTATTGTAAATATACAAGTATCACGTTAAAATGTGATTTTTTACTATACTCTTGTCGAAAGACTACATTTCTTTCCTAATTTCGAGAAGAAAAGCATAACTCTCCTCCCAGGTAAAAGCTCGCATTCTCTTTATAGAAAAGTATTTTTCCTCAATTTACGTGTTTGCTACTCTTGCATACAGATTGGAAGGCCATTTTTGTGCAGATTACACCAAAATACTTTTCTAGTAGACAGAGAATGCAAGTTTAACCTGGTAGGTTATGTTGCGTTCTTCACCCTGAAATCATAAAAAACGCCATATTTCGACAAAGGGACGTGAAAAATCGTAAACGATACACAAGACGAAAGTACGGCATTAACTCTCGCATTCTTGGGATTACACTTCCAAGACGGAGTGCGGTACGTTCGTCCCTTGTAGTGTAATACGCTATAATAATGACATAATCATTTTTTTAGTGTTTGGCAACATTGAAAATTTATGAAAACCTAAATAAAGCTGTAAATATACCTGTGATATATACTCCAGCAGACCATGTGATGCATTGTTCATGAAGCCAAATTTCACATTCTTGGTTTCCAGTAGTTTTTAAAGCAGACTGATTTACTTCATTACTGAAACTTCTTGTTCTTTTTTTATTATTGCTATTACTCATATCAGAAAACTGTTCAACTGTTTCAAGATATTTGTAACTTTTATTATTCTTGGACTCATACTTATGCTCCTTCATTATTATTTTATCTGGAGACTGTATGGTATCGTTAAAAGAGTCTTCGTGGATCAAATAAGGTCCAAAAAGGTCACTCAAAACTCCTGCTGAAATCTAAATTCATTCTAATGTATTAAGTGAGAAACACCTATGGTTTAATTTATAAATAATAAAATTTAAACAAAGAAGATTAAATTTACGTATAATAACAGTAAAAAATATCCAACATAATGCAGGAATAGCGATATGAAATATATATTTCACTAATTTATAAAGCAAAGTCGCTAAAACCGTTGTAATCGCTAACCGCGAGAACTTCTGAAACGATTTTGATGAAATTTTGCATACCGATTCTTGACACTTCCTGGATGGTTTTAGTATGGTTTTTATCTTAAAAAATTTAATAACAATAGCAATCAATAAGCTCAAAGTTTTAAAAAATTACGCCAGCTTTTCACTTTAGTTTAGTAGGATCCGCTAGGTAGCGTCGACATAAAATCTAAGCTACCTGTAACAGAATTAAATAAGTTTGATTATAATAGACCAGAGCGTCTCGGAAATTTCTGCAGTCATCTACCAGCAGTTCATCGAGCTGCATCGGGAATGTATATGATAGTCGTGTAGCTGGGTATCCCGGTTACCAATGACGCTCTTCTCCAATGAGCAAGTGACCTAGGTCTACTTTCACCCTAAACCTCCAAGATTGACGAGTGTCACCAATAAAAAATTTATTCTATCCGATGACGTCTCCGGCGGAATACCAGAAGACGTATCTAGCCAAAGCACAACCTACTCCAATACTTCAAAATTATGTGGTCGTACCACAATCTGGCCTGGTGCCGTCAGAGAATTTGTTACTACAAATGTAAGCCGGAAAAGACAGCCCTGAAGAGTACGGCCAGCCACAACGGCCAACTTTTTAGTGGCTGTTCCAACAGCATACCTACAAAGAAGGAATTCTCCAGGCCCACTTTCCCGACTAACGATAAGCGATTGGTTACTCGGGAAACGACCTGAAGACGAGCTATTTTCTTGTTAGTGGCGTACCTCCCTCAAGTGCGGTCTCCGTACACATAGACTTCAAGGATAAAAGTCAATTTACCCACAGCTGGCTCTCCATCATCAGAAATAATAGTAAGCAGTAACTGAAAATTTTACCACTGGCCCCTTTTAGGACCATCATAAGTATTCATGTTCCCTACTTAACCATCAATCTCATCGGTTCTTTTAAGGGTCACTTAAGTTCAAACTACCTTGCCAACAAATACATTTTTACTACCATTTCCGGAAACACTATTCGTCGACTAAAAGACTATTTCATCATTATTAAATATTTTTTAATTTTGACAGCTCATAATTTGACCAAATAAACTGTATGGATTGCGAACAAATATGTTTTTCATAAGAAGATTTTTGTCTTAAGAAGTGTCAAGAATAAATGTAAAATTTCTAACAGAAAACGTTTTACATTACATGTCGACACACTACGGTGCTCAATTTAGGAAGTCGGGCGAAGCCAAGACAGAGGGCCGACAGTATATATATCTTCCTATATTATATAGTTAACTACCCACCATACCCCATTTGCCCCCCACCACTCGCCCCACCAACCCCTCACAAAATAAGGTGAAAATCCGTTATTCTCTTGCTTATTTTGACATATCGTAGTTTTTCTCAAAACCCCAATAAAATAAGAGTGTGAAGTGTTTTGAATCAAGTTTTAAGTTTAGTTTAAGTGGTAGTTGATCAATGATTCCGTAAACCACTTTTAATTCATTCACGGCTGCTTAATTCATTAAATATGCTTATTTATCAAATGCATAAAATACTTACA